TTATTATTATTATTATTATTATTATTACTATTACTATTGTTGTTGTTGTTATTGTTGTTTTATAATTGTTGTTTATAATTTGTATAATTAACCTCTCTGTGGTTCGAGCCCGGTCTTGCCGGGTTATTTATTACTTCGACACTCCTGCACTTGGGAGAAGACATCAATCTTTTAGTCGTGTCATTTTCCTAATTGTTTAAGGTCATAAAAGATTAGTAGTAATTTAATTTTATAAGTATTGTATTAAGTTGATAGCCCGAGTTTTCTATGAGGAAAGTTTAACAACTTCTTTCTCTCCAAAGAAAATATATTGTAGCATGTTATTTTACTTAGTTTTGGGGTTTTGTTATTTATTTTATAACTTTGGGTTATTTTTAATTTGATCTTAATATCACCTTATTAGTCCATTAGTGTTTGGTTACTTTGTAAACTATAAATACTCTATTTAAGGGTAAAATGATTTATCTTGGATTTTTTTAGAATGATATTGTATGTGTAAGGTTTCTTATATTTTTAGTTTTTTATTAACTATTCAAAACTTGTCAAAGATTAACTACCTTTGTAATGTTCATCCTTATACTTTGATTTTTCAGTAAAGTAATAATTGGGTTGGGTTTTTTATGAATATGATTTTTCCTTTCGTGGTTTTTTTTTTCTTAATTTTGATCATGGGTTCTCCAAGTTTGCATTACCCTGGTTAGAGGGAGGAAAAAGAGGGGATTACTATATCCAATGGTAGAGAGAGAAAGTCATTGTTAACACCGATTCCATCCATAAAAAAAATCTATCATCATATCAACGAGTTTCATTCAATGAAGAAAGTTTAACTTGGGTGTTATTTCACCATAACATTGCTTGCATGGGTAGATATAACGTAGAAAAGTTTTTGGGTTTCAACTTGATTTTTATTTTGGATTGAGTTTTAGGTTGTTTGAAGGCATAAATAAGTTTATCTAGGTCTTTATATTATTTTTAGGTGTTATTGAGTTAAACAAGATTAAAAATTATTTTTTTGATTGAAAACCCACTGCCCTGATTTTTCGACGACTCCCTAGTCGCTAGATTTTTGGCTTACAGACGGTGTATTATCTACAAGCTTAGAAAATACGTTGTCTACATGAGCTAACAACATATCATTTGCATATATAGATGACACATCACCCCCTATGAAGATTATACATAGTCTATATTGTTTTTTCAAAAATAAAAATAAAAATAAAAATAAGAGTGCATGATGTATCATTTATCCTCTATTATTTGGGAACAAAAGCCTCTTTACATGGGAAGGTCCTTATGACTGACTTGATTTTTTTATGTGTTTTTCATAGCTATTAATCCTAATTTAGGGCAAGGACTCAGGATGCTCCCACGAGCTAGGCAGGTTAACTAATATTTTTTTTTATTTTTTTAATAAAAAATGAAAATGACATTATTTTGTGTTTTTTAAAAGTCAACAGGTGTTGGACTATGCTTTATCTAGATTAACCCTAGCTGTTGAACAAGTCATGCTTTATTAATTACTCCCTTTATTTTTTTTTTAAATGTAACTTGACCTAAGCCTGGATCATTCACGTTATGGGGTCAATCAATTGTACTAATACAAGTTTTATAAAGATAGTATTTTCAATCCCTTAAACTTGAAAAAAATATTATATAATTCTCTTTTAATATATTAAAGTTTGTTTTTTTTTTTAATTTGGTGTAGTAAAAACATATTCTTTATCAAATATATATATATATATATATATATATATTTTTTTTTTTAAGTCCTACGAGCTACCATGTTTTTTGTTTTTTGAAAATCTCCTTTTTAGTTGTTTGTAAATAAAAAAATCTCATGCACCTAATTGGTGTATAATTGAATAAAACATAATTCTAGAAATAAAAAGTTGTTAGAATGAACAATTTAAATAATAATTTTAATAGGTTAATCTAAATTAATTTAGTCTTTTGTTTTTTATTTTAATTTAATATTTTTATTTTTATTTTTATTATTTAATATTAAATTAATTGAAAATTAAAAATTATAATTTTTTACAGGTTTTTTTGTTAACATGATCCAAGTAACAATTTTAATTGATTATTTCAGGTTTACCAATAATGTTTTCAATTATAATTTTTTTTTAGCGTGAACAAATTCTCACAACCCTTTTACCAATAATTAACTTATTCGCACAGCCAATTCTCTCCAGGCACAATGGGATCTCCTTCGCGGCACATGCCACTCGAGCACTCCCTGCTGTGCCCTCCAACACACGACACAAACTTGTAGGCAAAACCGAAGGCGAGCCCCAACGTCTTATAAAACAAAAACGGATCGGCTGCATGCCACGTGGCAACAAACAACGGCCAGATTCATTTGGACCTCCCACCGATTATTTATTTATTATTTATTTATTTCCCTCTTGGTGCATGGGTTTCTCCTGGCCTTAAGAAGGCGCTCTCTAGCCACGGGGAGACAGAGAGAGAAGGAAATCAAGGTTTAAGCAGGAAGGAGAGGTCAGGATTGCTCCCATATCTCCAAAAGGGCAAATCCAACAAGAACACTTATCCTATCCCTTCTTTTCATTGAAAAGCTACCTAATCTCACCAGATTTTCCCTTCTCGCTCGTCACTCGTCATCAATGGATATTCTTAATTTATTTAGCTAGTTCGCTCTCTCTCTCTCTCTCCTCTCTACACGCTTCCTTTCTTGGGTTTTCTTTAGCGCTGATAACAACACCTAATCTCATCAGGTTCATTGTTTTCTGGGAAAAAAAAGGGTATCTGAAATTGTGTGCTGCCGACACACACACAGGTTTTTTCTTCATCTTTTTTCCTCCTATTTCCAGTGCACAACACGCAGCTCTGGTTGAAGAGGAAGAAGAGAAACAATGGCGCCAAGGTCAGGGAAGGGGAAATCAAACAAAGCTAGAGCAGAGAGGAGAAGGAAGGAGGAGAAATGTGATTATACTACCTGTTTTTTTCTCTCTTTTTTTTTAATTAATTATTCCGACATTGATATATGTTTTTATTATAAATTAACTTGATTTGCAGCTGTTCCTAGTGTTGTTGATGTCACCGTGATCACCCCATATGAATCGCAAGTTGTGCTCAAGGTGGTGCCACTACTCCTGGTATTTTTAATCATTTAATTTCTTGAATATTTTAAGCCCTCTAATCGATTATCTGGGCTCCTCTTGAAGGGCATCTCCACTGATAGGATACTTGATGTGAAGAAGTTATTGGCTGCAAATGTGGAAACATGTCATCTCACAAACTATTCCTTATCTCACGAGGTTTTCTACCATTTCTGTCCTCTGTAAAGCATGTGTAGAGAGTTATTAGTAATATTATTTTTAGCTTTTTTTTTTCTTTTTTTGTGTTTTTAGGTGAAAGGGCATGGGTTGCATGACAGAGTAGAAATTATCTCCTTGAAGCCCTGCCTGCTCAAAATCATCGAAGGTAGGTGAAGCTCCTCGCCAAACAACATCTCCCTCTCTCTGATTTTTCTTTTTGAAAAAAAATTAATTTTAGAGGAATTTACAACTTTTTTTTTGGGTAAATACATCCAAAAGAGCAAGGAACACTGAGCTCTAATTGTCGTATTCGCCATCCCATCATCCCAATCAACCGTATTAAAATAATTTGGACACAAAAAGACAGTTCTCAGCTCTCATTGGAGACTCCCAAGGGAGAGGTCACCATGGAAGTTGCAGGAAATGTAGGGACATGCACCGAGCTCATGTCACGTGAGGTGGGTCCATGATAAAAAGGATCTTGACAAAATCTCATGTCCTAAATCGTAATTAGGTCAAGGGAAAACGATCTTGCTGTGATACCAGCAACTAGCGAGGATGCCTGTCTTCAAGGTCCATAGATGCTTTATAATCTTAGATCACAAGTGTTAAGTCCCAGTAAGTTTGTTTTAAGAATTTGAGTACTCGGCAGTGATTGATTTTTAAAATGTTTTTATTTAAAAATAAATTAAAAAAATATTTTTTATTAAAAAAATTAATTTCGATAATATTATATTAAAATAATCTTAAAAAAATAAAAAACTAATTTAAAGTAATTAAAAAAGATTTGAATTTTTATAAAAATAATTTTAAAACATAAAAATAAATAATATTTTAATTTTTCAAATATAATTTATAATGTTAATTTGCGAGCTTCATGTTTAGACATCTTCAACACTTAGTCACATGTTTATACACTTTCAAGTTTTTAATTTTTTTTAAAGATTTTTAGGTATAAATAAAGATGATTTCAAAATTTATCTTATTTATTTTTATATATCAAAAATATTTTTTTAAAAAAATTAATTTTTTCATAGTTTTTTTTTTATTTTTTCAATCATTTTAATATATTAAAGTTAAAAATAATTTAAAAAATAAAAAAATATTATTTTAATATATTTTCAAGTAAAAAATATTTGAAATATTTGAATTTTTTTTTTATATATAAAAGTGACACAATTTAAGCTACAAAATCTCAATAAGTATCTTTAATTTTGGTTAGCTTCTAATGATTTTTGTTCACGGATGAATGTAGTTTAATTTGTTTTTCCAAATTAAGAATATATAAATCATTTTCATTTGCTCAATGATTGTAGCAAAACAAGGGGAAGAAAGAGGTTTTGAGTTTGAATCCCATGTTTACCAATTCATGATTAATTTCAAAATAAAAAGTAGGTTTTGAGTAGATTCACTTTATCTTCTATAATTAAATCTTAAAAAGGACTATATTGAAATTTTATAAATGCTGGGTTGGTAGTGAGAAAATAAAAAAATAGGGATCAAAGTGGAATATTAATGAATATACAGGGAATAAACTGTAGTTTTCCATAGAAGGTAGCAAGATTACAGATAAGGGCAACGACAAAAACAAAGTAGTTACGTGCAATGCATTTCACATGTCAAACCCTTGTTACCACATGCTTCCCATTTTCCTTTTCATTTATTTTTTTAAACCATGAATTTCACATGTTATGGTTTTGCAACTAAAATAATTTGTATAGAAATTATAATGTATTATTGTAATTAGTGCTCTATAATTATTAAAAAAATGCAAGTAATTTAAGCCATTTGAGTCAATAAGTTTTTAGAAAAAAATAAATAAGTAATTGAAAAAAAATAAAAAATAAAAAATGACAAATCTCATGCAAAACTGAACAATTAACTAGACGACAAAAAAATTAATTACTCAAAAAACAAAAAAGACTTGAATATCATAATGAATTCTTAAAAATGTTTAATTTAAGTAAAAAATAAAATAAAATAGATAAAGTAAATCTGAGTAAATGTTTTTCCCCAATAATTATCTGACAATTTTATATCTGAATGTGTCCGGCGTGTGAAAGAAAAGAAAATGACTAAAACATTACCCGACGCTGTGAGTTAATTTACACACCTTGCCACTGTGCTTTTGTAATTGCAGAGGACTACACAGAGGAGTCGCAGGCCGTAGCTCATGTACGGAGGCTGCTGGACATAGTGGCCTGCACAACCAGGTTCTCCAACAAATCCAGGCGACCGTCACCGTCAATATCACAATCCAAACGGTCTAACAGTGCTAGGTCTCCACGGACCAGTACTCCTGCAACGCCACTGTCCGACGATGCAGCATCCGAAACGACGTCGGTGTCGGCCGCTATGTCGGAGAGTATGGACATGGCGGCGATTCACCCGACGCCGAAGCTGTCTGAGTTCTATGACTTCTTCTCCTTCTCTCACCTCCCGCCTCCTATTCTCGGTAATTAATTAATTGCATTTTTAGCTTATTTTCCTAGGCTTGTCTTTTTTATCTCTCTTTTTTTTTTATTGTGTTAATTAGTTGTTAATTTTATATTATTGACGATGTTGCAGATTTGAGACGATGCAGTGAGGTTAAGGATGGAGAGGAAAGGTCACGACCGGGTGATTATTTTGAATTTCAGGTTCATCGTCTCCTTTATTTTCACTTTTATCCTCAAGTTTTGAAATTCTGTAATGTTATCCTTATAGTTTCTAAAACTTTCCAACATGACCCCTGACCGTTAAATATCTTCCTTTTGAATTTAGTTTTTTAGTAGGGAATAAGCATTTTTGCATGATATTACAAGGTAATATGCGAATTAAAATGAAAGAAATGTGATGAAAACTATGAAAAAAAGTTAATATGCGAATTTTAAATTATAGGATAGAAGCATAAAATTGATGAATCTACAACGGGCTAAAATTTTCAAATAAGGACCAGTTTGTAAATAAAAATTAATTAGGGACTAAAATATTCTTTTGCAATTCAGACACTATAAGAAAATTATCAAGGACTCCACTTCATTACTAAATTTTTTGCAACTAAATAAATGAATATAATAAATCATCTCATCTCATCACATCACATTATATGATACCAAAGATATCCTGAGTGCGAAAAATGTAGATTACCCGCATAGAAATTTAACTTTTCATGAGCTTATGGCTTATCAATCCTTTGTCATGGCAACTGAAGCTGCATTGATGTGATTGATATATTCCAGGTTAAGATATGCAATGGAAAGCTAATAAAGGTGGTTGCTTCAGTAAAAGGGTTTTATGCGGTGGGAAAGCAATTTTCCCTAAGCCATTCCGTGGTGGATCTTCTTCAAAATCTCAGCCGAGCTTTTGCCAATGTTGGTTTGCTTTCATCCAAGTTCCAGCCCTTCTCTTTTGTTGCATTTGTTTTGAAATCAATTGGCTTGCTATTTGCCTTCGGTTTGTAATTGATGGATGTGTTGCTGTGGTTACTGCAGGCATATGATTCCCTTATGAAGGCTTTTGTAGAGCATAATAAGGTCAACTTCTTATACTCATTTAATATAATATAGGCTTTTGCCATAGACATCATTACTGTTTTGAAGGCAAAAAATATGTGACATCTTATGTTTTCGCTTCTTCCTTTCCAGTTCGGTAATCTTCCTTACGGATTCCGCGCAAATACATGGCTAGTTCCTCCATCTGTTGCGGACTCTCCATCAAGCTTTCCATCCCTTCCTGTAGAAGACGAGAGCTGGGGTGGCAATGGTGGAGGGCAAGGAAGATATGGTGGGTATGATCTTCGACCTTGGGCCACTGATTTCGCGATATTGGCTAGCCTACCATGCAAGACAGAGGAGGAGAGAGTGGTGCGAGACCGGAAGGCCTTTTTGCTTCATAGTCAATTTGTTGATGTTTCAATTTTTAAAGCTGTTGGAGCGATACAAGGTGTTATTGATTCCAATCTTCAAGCAAGAGATACAATGTCAGGCTCTTTCTTGCTTGAAGATCATGTAGGAGACTTGTCCATAGTTGTAGAACGTGATGCAGCAGATGCAAGCTTGAAGACTGTGGTCAAAGTCAACGGCAATCACTTATCTGGTATCCCTGCTAAGGAAATTGCTCAAAGGAATTTGCTTAAAGGGGTAACCGCAGATGAGAGTGTAGTTGTTCATGTAAGTATAGTTTCGTTTCCTTCTTCGCCCTTCAAAGCACCATCATTCCACCTTCACTCGCATTGACATGCATGCAGTAGGACAACCTGCTATTACAAAATTGGATGTGCATCCATGGAAAAGCGCCTCTGACAATAACAATTTTGGGTTCCATCTTATTTAAGGAAATAAGCTGTCTTCCAATTCTGATCTTTTCACTCTCCCCCTCCCCTTCCTCTCTTCCTTGCTGGAACATTTCTATTTGTGCTGCACGACTGTCAGCATGAGGACTCATCTTTCCATTCTAAGTTCATCATTACCGGATTTTTGCACGGTCACATTATGCCAGGTGGCATTAAGATTTCTTCCTGAATCGACATCCTCTTTAGCTTCACCTCCTTGCAGTGCTTCCAAACTGAAACTCCATGACCCCCCTTTAGTACAGCCAATTAATCTTTGTTGCACATGACCAAATGATCATCTCAACTGGGTTAATGTCTTCATTTAGAATGGCAGAAGCAAAGTTACATGTTTATATTTGTTCTGTATTTCAAAAGTACATAAATAGACTGCTGAAACAACAGCTTTAATTTCTGCAGGATACCTCTTCATTGAGCACTGTCATTGTAAGACTTTGTGGATACACTGCAACAGTGAAAGTTGTTGGCAATGTGAAGAAGAAAAAGTTTGATGCTCAGGATATTGAAATTGATGATCTACCAGATGGAGGAGCTAATGCTCTTAATATTAACAGGTTTGAGCTACAAGCTAGATTTCTAGTCAACCTAATATCAGTGTTTGGAAGATTGTGCCCTGTTGGATGCACGTAGGATATACATGCTAATACTCAGAAATTGTGGAATTTATTCTGGTAGCCCAGGTCTTATCTGTTATGAGTCTCTTGTTTGAGTTGATTGTATTCAGAGTCAAAGTGTTTGTGTTGTTTCTGTAGATTATTGTGTAAAAGATATTTAAAACTGCAAGCTTAGGATCCCTGTTGAAAGGACAGCAAATTAGATTTATGATATTTGCTGCTCAGGATCCAATTGGAGAGCTGCATGTCAGATTGCTTTCTAGTCCTAATTTGACGACCAAAGCAAACACATAAAAGCAAAAGCTTGAAACATCTCTTAAGAGCATGTTTTAAACTCCTGCTTAAGGAATGAGGAAAACATAACACTACAAAAGTGAGTTAACTTTTCTTCCTTTAATATGTGAATATTTCCATGATATAAAAGTGTCCATTCTTCTAGCAAATGGCACTAGACCCTGTAAATTGCTAGGATATTCAAGAAAGAAACAAATGGCTATTATGTGTCCTTCACCTGTTGAAAAAGTTTATATAGTTTCTTCTAGCACATGGCACTAGACCCTGTAAATTGCTAGGACAATCAAGAAAGAAAAAAATGGCTATTATGTGTCCTTCACTTGTCAAAAAAATTTATTTAGTGTCCCATCCTTCGGTTTCCATATCAGATCTGAAAATTTTTCATCAGACATTACAAAAATAAGTTTGAAGTAAAATAACTTGTTTTCAAAGACTATAAAAGTTGACATTAAAAGAAAAGATAATCATGCAATTACTTTATTTCAGGAGTCAATTCTACGTTTACTAAAATCTAAAATTATTTAAATGCATACTGAGAGTACAAGATTTTTTAAAGGAAGTACTCTTGATTCATGTACATGTTTTCATCATGCACTATGGACTTAAAGGGATAAGCTATCCAAACCTTCTTGCAGTTTAAGGGTGCTGCTGCACAAGTGTTGCAGTGCTGAAGCATCTCTAGGACAGTCTTCTCACTCTACTTTGGAAGAGTTAGAAGCATCTAGATGTCTTATTCGGAAAGTAATTAAAGAGAGTTTAACCAAGCTAGAGGAGAAGCCAATTGCTTCAGAAAGGTCTATTAGATGGGAACTTGGCTCATGTTGGTTGCAACATCTGCAAAAGCATGAAGCTTCAAAAGATACCAATTCTAAAAGCCCTGAGGATAATAGTGAGAACAAACAAGCTGTGAAAGGTCTTGGAAAGGAATTCAAATTTTTGAAGAAGAGGGATATGAAGCCTACTGTGACTTCCATACATGGTAGAGAAGAAATTGAATCTGGCCTGTGCAGCCAAGCTATGGGAATTAATGCCGGACAACATAGCAATGATGAGTCCAACATTGGGTGCGAATTGAGGAGATTGGTTTCTGAAGAAGCGTTCTTGCGTCTGAAAGAATCTGGAACTGACCTTCATTTAAAGGTTGACTTGTTTTGTCATTTTCATTGTTGTTGTTGATGTTGTCTTTATTATGACCTAAGTTTTCTTTATTGTTATTTCTGAGTAGAACTGTATTTTCTTGCAACAGTCAGCAGATGAGCTTCTTCAAACAGCATACAGATATTACGATGAAGTTGCATTGCCTAAGCTGGTAATATTTAATTTATGCAGTGTCTTACTTTGCTGACTAGAGTTTGAACAGTTTATAATCCAGATCTTATACTTTATTAGGTAACAGATTTTGGCTCCCTTGAACTTTCACCTGTTGATGGTCGCACGCTGACTGACTTCATGCATTTTAGGGGACTGCAGATGCGTTCTTTGGGAAGGGTGGTGAGAAATCTCTCTCTCTCTCTCTCTCTCTCTCTGCATGCGTGTGAGCGTGAGTGCGCGCGCATGGGTGTGTGTGTGATACTGTTCGATGACTTTATTATAACCAGTCCTCTTGCTATACTTTGAACCGATCTATGTAGATGCAAGTTTTGGCCAAAAGCCACAGTAATATCCTTGCAAAATTCTTCACTGTCTTATGCTTAAGTAAGTCGTTTTGATTTTGTTGATTCTAAACTTCTTGCAATCAGGTTGAACTTGCAGAGAAGCTTCCTCACATACAATCACTTTGTGTTCATGAGATGGTTACTCGAGCTTTCAAGCACATACTTAAAGTGGTTATTGCATCTATCAACAATATATCAGACTTGTCTGCAGGCATAGCTTCATCCCTAAATTTCTTGCTTGGAAGTTGTGGGGTTGAAGGCAGTGATCAAACAGTGAAGGATGACCATGCTCTCAAATTGCAGTGGTTGCGAACATTTCTTTCCCAGAGATTTGGTTGGACACTGAAAGATGAATTTCAGCATTTGAGAAGGCTTTCAATTCTTCGTGGACTTTGCCATAAGGTACTGATTGTTCTTACTGCTGTTGGCTGCTGCATATGTCCCAATCATGGTTTTTACAATAAATTCCCCTGCCAGGTTGGATTGGAGTTGGTTCCAAGAGATTATGACATGGAGTGCTCAAACCCCTTTAGGAAATGCGACATTATCAGTGTAGTTCCTGTGTGTAAGGTGTGAATTGTGTTATAAATCTCTCAAAAATTCTGAGCACATAGAATTTCAACCTAAATTTGATATATGCACAATGCTTCATAGAATGTAGGATGCTCTTCAGCTGATGGACGGACTCTGTTGGAGTCATCGAAGGTCGCTCTTGATAAAGGAAAACTTGAGGATGCTGTTAATTATGGAACGAAGGTAATAATATCCCATTGAATCTGTATGTTAATGCTATATGAATTCCTTTTTTCATTTAGACATCATTTCGTCTCAAAATATGTACTGCTTCCATTCAAGGCTCTAGCAAAGATGATAGCTGTATGTGGTCCCTATCATCGGACTACTGCCAGTGCTTACAGTCTTCTAGCTGTTGTTCTCTACCACACAGGAGACTTTAATCAGGTAACTAATATTCTCTTTAGCATTTTCTTTCGTTTTAGGGATTTGATTTGTTTCCTTTACGAAAAGGTATGTCTATAATTAGAGTAGTGACTGAAAAAGATATAATAGAATGATGCTTCAAATTGGTTGAACTGCACATGAATGGTATTCTGGACTTCTATAGAATGGTTATTTGAAAAGTTGGAAAGTTGAACACGGAAGCAGCTGGAGTTATGCTAGATTTTTATGAACATGTTTGGTACTTCAATTTGAAGCATTCATGCAATTCAGTAGAAAGTTCAAATGTTTTCACTTATATGAAATTATTGTGAGCTTTAGCCACATCAGACAGTTTTTTGGCATCTCTATCTATCTTATTGAAATATTATATGAATCTAAAGAAAGCTACTTTTTGGTTGCTTTCATTTGTTAGGCTACTATATACCAGCAAAAGGCTTTGGATATCAATGAGAGGGAACTTGGTCTTGATCATCCAGATACAATGAAAAGCTATGGTGATCTTTCTGTGTTTTATTATCGTCTTCAACACATTGAGTTAGCTTTGAAGTAAGTTCAAAGTGATTACCTTAAAAACTCATTTTGACTTGCTCACCTTTGATTATTGATGTAGTCATTCCAAATTAATGATATCATAACTACCAGAGATTTTCCAAATCTAAATTTATGGTGAAATTGTCCCTACTGGTGTTTGTTGTAATTAACTGTTTCCATGAAAACAGAGTTTCTGTAAATTTAAAATTTTAATGGAAATCTGCCCCCTCATCTGTGTGATCATAACGTATTCATTAAGTGATGTGCACAATCTGTAGTTCTGTTGTTGGACTTCTTGGAGTCTCTGATTGAACTGGATAAATTTCAACAGATATGTGAACCGTGCTTTATTCCTTCTTCAATTTGCTTGTGGTCTGTCTCACCCTAATACCGCCGCTACATACATCAATGTGGCTATGATGGAAGAGGGCATGGGAAATGTTCATGTTGCTCTCAGATACCTGCATGAAGCTCTAAAGTGCAATCAAAGATTGTTAGGGGCAGATCACATACAGGTTCTTTTCACTCACTAAATAACACCATGCATGCTAATCTTGTCAAGAGGTGGACATTTTTATTTTAAACTTATCTAAAACTTATGAAAAAGGATAAGAATGAACAAACACTTCTATTTACCTTCCTTTTCTCGGCCTGACAGACAGCTGCAAGCTACCATGCTATAGCCATTGCTCTTTCTCTGATGGAGGCATATTCCTTAAGTGTTCAACATGAGCAAACGACACTCAAGATACTTCAGGCAAAACTTGGAACGGAGGATCTTCGTACTCAGGTAATGGAAAATATGTAGTCGTGATCTAATTTACATGACTTCCCTTATGGTAAAAATATATATAAATAATACTAATAAAATAAATAAATAAGTAGAAGGATATTTGTTTACACAGACTTGTTTTCCATTGGTCGGTGTGGGCGTGCCTGGAAGTGCTTGATTCAGCTATCTTTAGGATTTTTGCAATTATTTTGGAGTGTTCAGCCTAGTTCCTGCATTCATGCCCATATCTTAAGGGTCTAGAACCTGGATAACTTTGTTCATAATCATAACTTTTTTTTTCGTTTTGTTGTGTCAGTGCTGGTTGCTTATAATTTTCTGCTGTCAATCTGCGAAACTCATCAAGGTGCTGTGTTTTTTAATGCAGGATGCTGCTGCATGGCTTGAATATTTTGAATCAAAAGCCCTAGAGCAGCAAGAAGCAGCACGAAATGGGACTCCAAAGCCAGATGCATCCATCGCAAGCAAAGGTCACCTTAGGTATTGATATGGTATTCTCCACATTACTTGTTTCTTCATCTGCATTTATATGTTGGGATACCAAAGCCTGTGACTCCCTGCTGCAGTGTATCAGATCTCCTGGATTACATTAGTCCTGATCAAGACTCTAGAGGAAGTGATGCACTCAGGAAACAGCGTCGTGCAAAGGTAGTTAATAATGCAAAGTTGTTTGATTAGAAGTTTTAAACAAACACATTTTTCTAATCTGCATCATTTTCAGATAGTAAACATGCTCCATATAGTTTTAAAAGCCAGAGAAATCCTGAAAATGTTATATTTCTGCTTCTTCTGAACATATAATGTCACATCTCAAGTTCCTCTGGAATGTTACTGAATTACAAGTATCGTCCACACCTGACAGCTCTCCAAAATCTGATTTAATTTATCTACTGTATTATGAGAACATGACCCCTATCTTCCTTTAATCTAAAATCCACAGGTACTCCAGGTTAGTGATAAGTCCTATCAAGTCCATCAAGATGTAATGGTCAAAGATGGCTTGGGAAATGCGATGGTGATGACAGATGATGGCAACACTCAAGAACAAGGGGTGGATGTGATTCATAATGAAGAAGCAGAGGAAAATGATGATATCACCAAGTACAGGCCCACAGTTGCGGGGGAAGTTGTTGAAGAAACAACTTCAGATGAAGGATGGCTAGAAGCCAATCCAAGAGGACGGTCATGGAAAGCTGCTGGCAGGAAATCTGGCCGTAGACGACCAGCTTTTGCAAAGCTAAACATAATTACTGCAGAATATTCAAGTAATAGAGAAAGAAGCTATAGGAGTCAAATCATTTCCCCAGCACAAAGAAAAACTCCAAGGACAATTACAATGGAGGTGTCACCTGCGAAGCAATCAATTGAACTGCAGGCAAAAGCTACTGTCTCCAAACCTTTTTCTGCTCCGGCAAATCTCACTGCTATGGCATCAAAATCACTCTCTTACAAAGAAGTAGCTGTGGCACCCCCTGGTATGGCTTTGAAGCCATCTCAGGAGATCGTAGAAGAATCAAGCGAGGCAAAACCTGAAACTCAGATATGCGGTGTTGTACCTGAGACATTTAAGGAGGAGGAAAGCAATGATATCCCTGTTATTGATAATAAACCAGGTCCTGATGAAGCAGAAGGAACTCATGAAAGTGAAACTGAACCCGAAAAATCTGGCCCTGAAGTTGAGGAAATTTCTTCTTCTAATCAGGAAAAGTTCATTGAGAAAAATGGAAGTAAGCTTTCAGCTGCAGCTGAACCATTCAATCCAGGACCATGCCCACTGGTTCACCCATTAAACTCAGCTTCTGTACCAAGCATATATGACGCAACAGCTAGTCAAGGAATGCTTGTAGTCCCAGTGGCACCTCCACTTGCAAGAGTTCCTCGTGGGCCTAGATCTCCGCTGTATTATAGAACTGCTCAATCTTACCACATGAGACAAGGTTTGCTGAAATACCGAACTCACTTGGCAACACAACCTAGAAGCATGAACCCGCATGCACCTGAGTTTGTTCCCAGTAGAGCTTGGCAGACAAATCCTGAAAATGGAGATTCTGCTATTTCAAACGAGACGAAATCTTTGCTCGAGAAAAGCAATGCAAGAGAGGAAGAGGAGTACATTAGTAAGGAATCCGGTAATGAAGTTCAAGATTGTTCTACAAAAAACACCACCTCTGAGACTGAGAAGGCAGAACTTGCAAGGCAGATACTGCTCAGTTTCATTGTGAAGTCAGTCCAGAATAATATTGATGGTGGAAGCGAGACCCTAGGCAGTAAAAGGTTTGAAAGTTCAGAGAACTCTTCGGATGCAATTGCTAATGACAGTGCAATTATAAAAATCCTCTACGGAAATGAAGGAAAGACAAAATTGGTTACTCAGTCCAGCGACGGTGAACAGCCGGAAACCCCAGATGCTAATAAAAACAATCAAGGTGACGGTGAAGGATTTATAGTTGTAACAAAGCGAAGAAGAAACAAACAGCAGTTCACAAATGGGGTTGCTAGGTTGTACAACCAGCAATCACTCTGTGCACCTGTTCTTTGAAAGAGTGAATAACTCGAAGTGGACGACAGAAAAACGGTGGTGTTCCATTGTCTTGCTTTTTATGGACAAAATCTCTTTGCAATTGCATCTCAAACACTGTAGAAATGATTAGAGGACGATGTGGAAGAGAGCCTGTATTTCGAGTCTATTGATTTTAGCTGTTCTTTACTTTGTAGGTGCCAATAATCTTTGTATAAATTGCAAAGTTTTTCTGTTAAAAAGATTTTGTTTGATTAATAAAAAGGCCCTCAGATTTGGCAACTTCATCTGTATGATTTCCTCACATATCATCCCTCCTCCTGTTTGTTTACAGTAATTGAGAAGCCCTCCGTTCCATGCCATTTTACTCCATTGTTAGGGTTTGGCTCTCCATCCCATGCTCAATTGAATTGAAGGGGTACAGAGAATGACACCATACTATCAGGCAGCCTCAGTGCAAGTTCTTAAAGATCCAAAACAAATGATTTCACCAGTCACAAGAAAACAATATGAGCGTAGAGCAAGAACAGGTGTTTTTGCGTCTGAGTTGAAGAAAACATCAAATCTGATGTACTGATTTCGAAACCATAAAAAAACACGCTAAAAATGTACTCTGATAAACGCTGTCCATGCACTACCGAACTACCAAACACACCCCAAGGGTTGATGAACCTTGGGGATACAGGACTTGCACAGGTTACAGAGTTGCAGGCAACCAGCTGAACCCCATAAATTTCCAGGATGGCCAGCTGATTTTAGCGTACAGAAATTGATCATATAATAGAAATTACAGATAGGATTAAACTGTCGGTTAAAATTATTAAGCTTGTAACAAAGATAAGGATCGAAATGCGAATGAAAAGATAGGATGGAAGCGTAATTAATAAAAAGCGTCAAATGGAAAGATCAGCCAGGTCAAAAGTCCTTTCAACAGCTTTGAACCACGAATCCACCTTCTTCTTCCTCAGCTCCTCATTTAGTTTGGGACGGAAAGTGGTGTCAGACTTGGACTTCTCTCCAGAAGCGAAAATCTCTTCCTCTGTCCAAACCCCGACAGCTAAACCTGCAGCATAGGCTGCTCCGAGGGCTGTTGTCTCGATATCAGCAGGTCTCACCACAGGGCTCCCTAGCAAGTCAGCCTGCGAGGGGCAATCAAAATTGTTACATAACAGTAAATAAGAGCAAATATGATTGATACAGTAACAAGAAGAACGCTTTAAAGCTCAAACCTGAATCTGCATCAAGAGGTTGTTGACAGTAGCACCACCATCCACCCTAAGCAAGAATTCTCCCTCCTCAGAACCTGCGGCATCTTTATGCATGGAATCCAACACATCCTTCACTTGAAAACACATGCTCTCAAGCACAGCTCGAGCAATGTGAGCCTTGCTTGTAAACCTTGTGATCCCAATACAAACCCCACGAGCATCATCACGCCACCATGGAGCAAACAAGCCATTGAAGGCAGGAACAAAATAAACCCCGCCAGTTGTGTCAGCCTGAGATGCCAGTTCCTCGATTTCACTAGCGCTTTTAATTATTCCAAGACTATCTCTGAGCCATTGAACTGCAGCCCCAGCAATAGCAATTGAGCCTTCAAGTGCATAGTTTGCTGGCGCTTTTGAGCCAAGCTTAAACGCCAAGGTGGTTAGAAGCCCATGCGTTGACTGTACCACCTCCTCACCGGTGTTGCGGAGTATAAAAGCACCAGTTCCATAAGTGCTCTTAGCCTCACCCTTTTTACAAGCTTGCCCGACCATCGCAGCGTGTTGGTCACCAAGACATCCAGCAATTGGGAAACCAACAAGCGGCCATCCCTCTGTGACCTTTCCAATAATCTCAGAATTACTGATAATTTTTGGAAGAATTTCAGCTGGGATTTTCAGGGTTTCTAATGTAGGTTTATCCCAATCAAGAGTCTTCAGATTCATGAGCATGGTTCGAGATGCATTAGAGACATCAGTCACGTGTAAGCCACCCTTTACTCCGCCAGTTAAATTCCAGATCAACCAAGAATCTACCGTTCCAAACAAAGCATCTTTCTTCTCGATACCTTCTTTAACCAAATCCACATTTTCCATCAACCAGATTAACTTCATGGCACTGAAATAAGTGCTAATTGGCAATCCGCATGTCTCAACGAAATGAGTCCTTCCTCCTGGCATTTCTTTCTCCAGCCTCCTGTTAAAAGAAGATATGCTTACAGTAATTCTTGGAAACACAGCAAATGATCAAATATTAAAAAAAAAAGAAGGTCAAAATCTTTTTGTACCATAAATTTCCAGCAATAGCAATCAATCAAAAGGGATACATTAGATCCTTACAATAAATCTTGGAAACACAGCTAATGATCAATGATTTGATAAAAAAAAAAGAGAGAAAAAAATGTCAAACCTTCTAGTATCACAAATTTCCAGCAATATCAATCAATCAATCAATCAATCAAATGGGGGTAATATCAAAACGAAAGCAACAATAAAGAAATTCTGATAAAGAAAATCCTCAGTCATAGGAAAAAAAAAAAATTGGAGTGAAGAATGGAAGATATGCGAAGTAAAGGAAACCTGCAAACAGAAGTGGTGCGAACATCCATCCAAACAATGGCATTATAGAAGGGACGACCAGTGGATTTGCTCCAAACAAGAGTAGTTTCTCTCTGATTAGTCAAACCAATAGCCTTCAAAGCAGCGTCCACATTATGCCCCTCTGCTGAAGCCTTGTCCACTGCCTTTGCCATGCACACCTTCACACTCTCCAGTATTTCCATTGGGTCATGCTCCACCCATCTACAACCACCACCAACATCATCATCATCATCATCATCATCATAAAGCAAAAGAAAAGAAAGGGAAATAATTTAGAGTACCCGGCTTGAGGATAGAGCTGGGTGAACTCAACCTGGTGAGATCCAACACAGCGACAGTCACGGTCATAGATGATGAATCTGGTGCTGCTTGTGCCTTGATCAATGGAGCCAATGAAGGCAGCCTCCTTTGTTTTCGCCATTTCTTGATTGAGAGACGGACAGAAAACAAACACGAGAAGATACACTGCCTAGGAGCAACTCTTAAATGGGAAGCCAAAAAATAAAGAAATATTTATACTACTTAAGAATATACTATTTTATCAATTTATCTCTTCCAAGCAGCATCTCCATTTATACTATTTAAAGAAAAATACTATTTTATCAATTTATCTCTTCAAAATAGCATTGGAGAGCTTGAAGCGAGAAAGAGGGAGGAGTTGATGAAACCAAGGCCTGTTCCTGTACTTTTATTTATAGGACAAGGAGAGTTGCCTTGGGATCGCAGACCTAGTCGTTTATCCACCCCCCATGTTTGGTGTTGATGTTATCATGGATCCTCCTTGAGTCCATCTCCACGTCTTTTGTATTTTACTTGTTCAATGCTAGCAATTATTATCCTTGAAATGGTTTATGAGTTTGTGAAAACTGGATATCTTCTTTGTATTTTTTTTCAAATCTTCAATGCAATATCATGGACTTTTCTCGTAATGAGGCGGTTTTTTTTGTAACCACGTTTCGCTGAATTTTAATTTATTTATTTTTAAATATATTTTTAAATAAAAAACATCTACAATAAATAATTCATACCTCTCAAAACACAAGAGAAGAAGTTCAATTCATCTTTTACAGAGAATTTAACTTCAGGTACTATTTGATTGATGATATAGTTGTGATTATTTTTTAAAATATTTTTTTGTTTAAAAATATATTAAAATAATATATTTTTATTTTTAAAAAATTATTTTTAATACCAGTATATTAAAATAATTTAAAAAATTAAAAAATATTAATTTAAAAAATTAAAATATTAAAAATTTTAAAAAATATTTTTAAAACATAAAAAAAATAAACACGGAAGCGAACGAATGGGAGAGAAGGGTAAAAATAGAAGAATAAGCAGTGATGTGAAAGGATAAAATGAGCGGTGGAGATGGTGTGTGTGGCCCAAGACCACGAGGCATAGGAGATATATCGTGACTTTTTAGGTTTCCTATCCACGGGGAGGGGATGGTTGGATGGACACGCCATGCTGGTGCATCGTCACGAGGAGCTCCAAAGTCAACATACTTAATTTACAAAAGTTTTATTCGTTAGTCTACGATTGGATTTCTTAAGATAAAGCCTAAATACGCTTAATAATTTATAAAAATCTTATTGGTCAGTCAATGATTGCTGATGGTTAATTGTGCTTACCAAATCATTTTTCTCCCGTCTACCAATTAAGAATTAACATCCTAATCCATCCACTTTAATCCGTTTTTCCTGTTTTAATCAAAATTAAATATAAGATTGTATTAATCTTATTAATAATAGGTTTTACTTAATTTTTTTAAAAAAAATAATAAAAAAATTATATCTTAAAATTTTATTTAATAATTTAAATTATTTAATTAAGATAATTCTTTGACATAAAAATAAAAAAAATATTTACAAGTGCTTGGAATTACACTACTTCCTCTTTTATCTATTAAAAAATAATATAAATTATATTCTAAGATTTCATTTAATAATTTAAGTTTGTGGATTGAAATGATTCTTTAATATGATATCAAAACTTTGATGATTAAATAATAACAAGCTTAAATTCCATTATTTTTATTTACTTAATAAAAAATTAAATACAATATAATGTTATATTCTAAAATCTCACTTAACAGATTAAATTTTTAAATTAAAATAATTTTTTGATATTATCGAGCGAAGACTCTAATTATTGATCTAACTTAAATTCAATCTAGTTTTTAATTATTAAAATAATAATTTTTTCTTTAAATTAAACAATGTTTTTAGGTAAATAAATTAATCATTAAGTTTTATAATTATGGTGGAGTCTCGTAAATTACTGGGAACGGAGGGGAATTAAATTGAGCTTTCTTTATGAAATGTCAAGAAAAAAAATAAAAAAAAATAAAGCTGAACGCTAAGAAATATTGGGCAGTCCCATCTGCCTAAGAGCAGGAAAAGGCTGTTCCCATAGACACCGATGTCATTTCAATATTATTATTACAAGTCTACCATTATAAGTCACCATCGCTGTCAACATCTCCATTATCTTTATTATAAATATTGCAATTCTTCTCCTTTTATTTTCATTATTTAAAAACCATGGAAGAAAGATAATTTACTTTATAATAAAATATTTTCCTAAATACTTCTACATGACGAAGGAAAAAAATCATTTTATAGGAAAATATTTTTTTTCCCACGAAACAAGATACCCTTTGCACGAAGCTAATTGATCCCAACACAAAATCAACACTTATGCCTAGTGTATTATTAGTATTGTTAATCCTAGAACCAATAGTTTTTTATTTTATTTTAATATGTAAAATTGATTCATTCTCTTATTTGAGAGTCTTGAGATGAATTAATATTTATTAGAATTCCTTCATCTTTTTTTAAAATTAATTTGTTAGAATTTTTATATATTGTTTTAGTATTCTTGATTTTACTCAACTTCAATATTATTGGGTTAATGAATTGACTCAATAAATTAATTATCTTGATAAATTCTACTTTCTGTTCTTTAAAATTTTATAGTTAAAATTAATTGAAATTATTTGAATTTAAAATTATATAGTTAAAAATAATTTAAATTATTTGGATTAATGTTGGTGAATTGATAAAATCTTTTGAGTTAATAAGAGAGGTTAAAGACTTAAATCATAAATAATTTGAGTTTTTTTAATAATTAAATAAATTAAATTTAATCACATCAATTTAATTATAATTATCCAAGTTGGATGGTAAGATATTAGATTTTGAAGGAAACTTGTTAGGTTTGATTCCATCCTCTAAAAAAAAAAAAAGGAGTAAAGTCAAAACATCCGAAATCTTAACACATTACTTTCTTATTTATTATTATTATTATTATGAAACGACATCCAAGGAGGATACAAGTTGCTGGGTTGGCTAACATCTTATCAAGGCATTTATTATTTTGTCATGTTCCGCTAACGTAACATCAACTACAATAAAAAAAAAAAAATACTAAGTAGATTTTATTTATTTTTAAATAGTATTATTAATTTTAAAGTTATTATATATATATATTTATTAATTTTAAAATTTATAAAGTTAATTCAAATATACGTAAGCTAAGCTGACTTGAATAGATTTTGAGTTTACATTTTAATAATTTGAATCAGATCATTGGAAGTTTATTAATTCAAGTCATATACAAACTAGTTATAATATTTATATTAATAAAAAATTAAAATAAAAAAAGAGAGTAAGGATACAATTTAATAAAATAAAAATAAATATCAATTAGTTTAACATCTATATTTATATCTATGAATTAGTTTGCAATAAAGATTATATTTTATTTTTAAAGTATTAAATGAGACACTTAAATATCCATGTAACAACAAGAAGTCATACCAGGCAAGAAAACCTGCCAACCACCATCTTCACCGTTACTATAAGATTTTTTCTCGTTTAATGTCTTCATCATGGCCCCACTTCGGCGTTTTCATGAAGCTCTTGGTATTCTGCATTGGAATCCCCGCCCGGCGGAGCTGGCGGAGAACCTCGCTCCCCCTCCTCCCTGTAGTAAATAAATCAACAAATTCATTAGTTTTCAAATGCGAGTATACTGAGAAAATATTTTTCTGCTAAATTTTATTTTTAATTATATAGCAAGATTTTTTTAACAAAAAAAATATTTATAGCTTTCATATATTTCTTTCAAATTCTTATATTAAAAATCATTCAAATTCTTATATTAAAAATCAACTCGATGTTGATTAATCCTGTCAAACTGAATATGTATAATTTTTTTAATGATTTTATATTTAATTCGCCAGGTTGAGATTTAAAATTTTATTTTAAAAAATATTAAATTATTTTAATTTATCAATGAATTATTATATAATTTATCTTATTTTTTAATATATTCTCTCAAATAAAAATTTTTTAGACTTGAAATTTTCATAAATTCATACTATTTTATGTTTAATTTTTTTTATTAAATAAATAAAAATAATAAGATTTGAATCACTCTAATATCACGTCAAAAAACCATACTAGCAAAAAGTTTAAACTATTATATAAAAGTTTAAATTATAAGATAAGATTTTAAAATATAATTTATATTATTTTTTAATATAATCAATATCTGTCTGATTTATCCTTGTAGAATTAAAATTGATGAAGATAAAAACAAAAAAAACGAGCTGAAATTATTAATTTTCTTATAAGCAGAATTAATAGAGGATGGATAAGAACATACGTTAACGAGTAAATGATTAATCCAATCGCTACAGTTGCAAAAGAAAGAAAGTATAACCAATCAACCTGCAATTAAAGTAGTTAATCATGATTATAATTAAATACATAAATTTATAAAAAGAAAATAATATATATATATATATATATATATTAATTGTATTTTAGTTATTACCTGTTGGTGGTAGAAAAAGACACGGAAAACGACAGCCCACATGTCGGATGTGAGAATAGACAGATTGAACATTGTGGCTCCACTTAACTGTATGCATCATAATTTCATCACAAAAAGTTAAATATAAAACAATTCTTCAAATCTTAAATTGATTCTTTGTTTAAATCCGCACATCAATTCAATTCCTTAAATTATTTTATTTTAGCCAATAACTATTTAATCATGGAACTTGAGGGAAAATCATGCTTATAATTTTTCTTTTACCGTTATTCATGATTTCTAATTAGAAAACCTATATTAATAAAATTAAAAAATATTTTTTAAAGTATTTTTTACTCGAAAATACATTAAAATAATTTAATAGCAATATATCAAAATAATTTAAAAATATTAAAAAAATTTAATTTTTTTAATACAAAAACAACACAAACTTAAACCAATTTAATCTAAAAATTTAAATTCAGGCTTCCAAAATAACTTTTTAAAGTTGATAGATGCATGATATATTATTATATTCTAGTTGTGACATAGAATGTTCTAAATATAATTATTTTTTCCCGTTATTCATGATTTCTGATTAGAAAACCTAAGATTAAAAAAACAACATAATCCAGAAATTTAAAACTTAATTCTTCAAAAATAACTTCATAGTTTTAGTATTCTCCCTCGAGTAAAGGCTAAAGCTTCTTGAACTTACAAACTCACAAGCAACAAAGGGAGATTTTACCTTTAGAACGAAGGGAGCAAGAGTATAGAATAAAAACATGGATACAGTGTAGCCAGCAATGGCAAATACCTGAAGCCAAAATAAATATAAATGTCAAGGTCTCTACCATTCTTATAGTTCTTAGCACGTATATATAAAATACTTACAATATCTTTAGACCAGGCGATTGCTTCCAAACTCTTTAGCTCCACTATGGATCTAAAATGAAGTTATGGAATATTGAAGATAACGTGCGTTATATACACACTCCAACTTATAATTATATTCGAAATCTTCGAAATTCAAAATAAAAATCAAGGAAGAGGGACATTACTCAATGTTTTCATGTATTTTTTAATAAAAAAAACCGAGTTAACCCGAATTGATCAACACCCACCCACCCGAATAAAAATTATTGACATGTTCATGGGTTGGTTAGCTTTGACGTGTGAAAACTCGCCCCCTCCTGCTAAATTATTAAGCAGTCTCTCCATTCAAGTATTTTCTTGATTTTTATCAGCATATATTAGTTTCGAAAAGGATACAACTCAACCACACTCACAAGGAATCCATAAACACCGAGCATTGTCACCACTTCAACACGACCTTTTTTCTTAACGCAGAATTCCTGGCATTGATTTCATAGAAGAATTAGGTAAATGACAATTTACAAGATAAAGATGCGTAAATATGAAGATTTAGTGTTTCAACTCTTAGTTGAAGAATTAAAATTCTTCATAAGATTCATATTATTTGCATGCAAACAGGATTTACTAACCTCACCAACATTGCTAAAGGCGAAGAAAATTGTCCCAGCAATAACAAGGAAATCACCTAAAATGGGCTTTGAACCACCTGTAATAATGACAAAAATATATGCTTGCGTTTACAAGTATGTATTTTTATATTAAAAAAAAAGAAAAGTGTCCCGGGAATAGCAAGGAAACGAGTGTATTTATTGATTATCTAGATACTAATTATTTCTAGTTTGCGACTAAATACATATTCAATTATATTTCAGAAATCAAAAACACATAAATTTATATAATTTGATATTTTATCTATTCTAGAAACTACTGATTTATATTAATCAATTAAAAAAATAATACAAATAAGAAGGAGGTGAAAACTCTTCTCAGCTCAACTCCACTCACTCAAGCTCTCTCTACTGCTCTCTCTTCTCTTCTGTTCTTTTTGTGTTTTTCACTCTTACTCATAGCTCTTCATTAAGTATATATGTATACTAAGCTAAGAGTGAAGGGTATAAATCATGCCATAAATATAAATCATGCCATGATTTATGCCCATCGTTTATGCCTCCACTTTGTACCAAGTGAGAGATGAGTTGTTCCCACTAAACATATAATGGAGATAGGACATTGCTTGTCTCCATATTGTTAACAATCTCCCATTTAGAGACAACTAAAAAAATTATCTTTTATCCTTGAAAGCTAACTAAAGTTTTACACAACTTCAGTTTATCAAGTGTAATTCTTTTGGTTAACATGTCAGCTGAATTCTTGCTTTCACAGACCTTTTCTAGCATCAATTGCTCATTTTCTAGTAATTATCAGATGGAGTGATAGTTGATCTGAATATGCGTAGTCCTAGAGTGAAATGCTGGATTCTCCTACTAGATCAGCATCTACAAAACCTTCAAGTTTCAAACCACCAGTTGTGAAGGTAAGACAAGTCTTCGAGGAACCTTTTAAGTACCTTATGATCCGTTTTACCGCTTTCTAATGCTGCTTTCCAAGATTGCTCATATATCGACTTACAACTTCCACTGCATGAATAATGTCTGGTCTAGTACAGATCATATCATACATCAAAGAGCCGATAGCTGAGGCGTATAGAATCTTATCCATGTATACATAGATTTACGAGGACCTTATCTAGTAGCATCTTTTGAAGGTTCTCGGTATATATGACTTTCATTGATGATTTCAGCAGGAAGGTATGGGTCTACTAGCAGGAACGTATGGGTCTACTTTATGAAAAATAAATCTGATGTGTTTTAAACATTCAAGAAATGGAAGGTTATGGTTGAGACTGAATCAGATCTGAAGTTGAAATACTTAAGATCTGATACTGAAGGAGAATACATTAACAGAGGTTTCAAAGAGTATTGCGTTGTCAAAGGTATCATAATAGAAAAAGACCATTCCAGACACACCACAACAGAATGACATTGATGAACGGATAAACAGGACCATCAATGAATAAGCTCGAAGTATGAGGTTGCATTCTGGGTTACCTCAAACATTTTGGGCTGATATAGTTCATATTATAGTTTACTTGATTAATCATAAACCATCAGTTCCTTTGGAGTTCAGATTACCCAAGGAAGTATGGAGAGGAAAAGAAGTACAACTTTCTCATTTAAAGGCCATTGGGTGTGTTTGCTATATGCATATAGATTCTGATGTTCACAATAAGCTAGATGTCAAATCCAAGAAATATTTCTTCATTGGCTATGGAGATGAAGAATTTGGATTTCGGTTCTAGGATGATCAGAATAAAAATATTATCAGAAATAAGAACGTGATCTTTAATGAGAAAGTTTTGTATAAAGACAGATCAAGTTTAGACATAGAAATGACTGATTGAGATAAGTCCATAAAAATATGAATTCATAAGATTAGAATAGCTTCTTGATGTTACCGAGTATAACAAAAATTAGGAGTCTTTACAAGAAGATTCAAGCACATCTGTACCCACTACTACACAAGAAAATACGAAGCCAAGTGAACTAACTGTTTATGTTCGTAAGTTTTCAAGGACTGTAAAGCCCCTGCAACGGTTCACCCTTTTACTGAATTATATTTTGTTGGCAGATGGTGGTAAACTATTACCTTATGAAGAATCCTTACAAGATGAAAACTCAAGCAAGTGGGAGTTAGCCATAAAGGACGAGATATATTCGTTGTTGAAAAACAAGACTTGATAGCTAACCACACTACCTAAAAGAAGGCTTTGCAAAACAAGTGGATTTACAGAGTAAAAACTGAGCATGATGGAAGCAAATGATTCAAGACAAAACTTGTTGTAAAAAGGTTTCAACAAAAGAAAGGGATTTAATACTCTTGAGATATTTTTTCCAATTGTGAAGCTCACAACAATCAGAGTTGTTCTGGGGATAGTAGCTACAAAAAATTTACATCTTGAACAATTAGATGTAAAAACAACATTTTTTCTTAGTGAATTGGAGGAAGACATTTATACACAACAACTAGAGGGGTTTGTAATACAAAGAAAGGAGAACCAAGTCTACAAGCTAAAGAAAAACCTATACGGTTTGAAGCAAGCTCCAAGACAGTAGCATAAGAAGTTTGATAATTTTATATACAATTCGAGGTACACAAGATGTCAAGCTAATCATTGTTGCTATGTTAAACATTTTAAGAACTCCTACATCATTCTAGTATTATATGTAAATGATATGTTGATTGCAGGATCCAGCATTGAGGAGATTGACAAGAAAAAATAACAATTTTCAAAACATTTTGAAATGAAGGATCTAGAAGTTGCTAAAGAAATACTTGGCATGAGAATCATTAGAGATAAAGACAAAGACATACTAAAGCTTTCACAAATAGAGTATGTCAAAAAGGTTCTCAGTAGGTTTAGTATGAATAATGCTAAATCAGTAAGTACACCTCTGGGGAATCATTTCAAGCTCAACAAAGACCAGTTATCAAAAACTGAGCTAGAATGTGGATATATGGGTAAGATTCCATATGCCTTAACTATTGGCTCTTTGATGTATGCTGTGGTCTGTACCAGACCAGACATTGCCTATGCAGTGAGATTTATATGCCAATATATGAGCAATCTTGGAAAGCATCATTAAGAGGCGGTAAAATGGATCATGAGGTACTTAAAAGGTTCCTTAGAGACTTGTCTTACCTTTACAGTTGATGATTTGAAACTTGAAAGTTTTGTAGACACTGATCTAGTAGAAGATGTTAATAGTAGAAAAAAGCATTACAGGATATATACACACTCTAGGAAGCACTGCTATTTCTTAGAGTTTTACTTGCAAAAAATCATCGCTCTTTCAACAACAGAAGTTGAATATGTTACAGTATGAGAATCTATAAAAGAGATCATATGATTGTAAAGTTTCCTGAGAGAATTGAGCAAAATGAATGGAAAAAGGTACTCTGTATAGCAACAATCATAATGCAATCTTCCTTGCCAAGAATCTAGCATTTCACTCCAGGACTAAGCACATTCAGATCAAATATCACTTTATTCGACAATTGCTAGACGATGGGCAACTAATGATAGAAAAGGTTTGTGAAAGCAAGAATCTAGTTGACATGTTAGCCAAAGGAGTTACACTCGATAAACTAAAGTTGTGTAAAACTTTAGTTGACCTTTAAGGATAACAGATAATTTCATTGTTTGCCTCTAAGTGGGAGATTGGTAGCAATATGGAGACAAACAATGTCCCACCTCCACTATGTGCTTAGTAGGAACAACTCATCTCCTACTTAGCACAAAGTGAAGGCATAAACGGTGGGCATAAATCATGGCATGATTTATGCCATTCTCTCTTAGCTTAGTATACATATATGCTCAATGAAGAGCTGTGAGTAAAAATGAAAAACACAAATAGAATAGAATATAAGAGAGAGTAGTATTAAGAGTAGAGTTGAGTTGATAAGATTTCTCTCCTCATTCTTGTTTGTATTGTTTCTTTAATTGATTAATACAAACCAGTAACTTTGTGGAGTAGGCAAGTTACTGAATCACATAAATTTGTATGTGTTTGATTTCTAGAATTATCCAACTACCCTTCACTCTTAGTTTAGTATCCATATATGTTTAGTGAAGAGCTGCGAGTAAGAGTGAAAAACACAGAGAGAATAGAAGAGAAGAGAGAATAAGAGAGAGCTTGAGTGAGTAGAGTTGAATTGAGAAGATTTTTCTCCTTCTTGTTTGTATTATTTTTTTGATTGATTAATACAAACCAGTAGCTCTGTGGAGTAGGCAAGTTGTCGAACCACATAAATTTATGTGTTTGATTTCTGGAATCACCCAACAACTGGTATCAGAGCTTGTTCTTAAAAAAGATGGTGTTTGATCCAAACTCAAAAATTAAAGTTCTCAAAATATTTTTTTGAACATATCATCATGTAGAGGAAGACAAGATGAATCCACTGGTGAAAACCCGGCAAAGAACCAGCATCCTGCATGCTCGTACGCCCCAACACGGGCCGACATTAGGACTACCCACGTGCACCGACACACCTTACTGTCCTTCTTCGCTTGAATACCTGCAACTGAATTGGATTGACCCAACATGTCAGCGTACAGTTAGCAGCCATAATAACAATTCTACATAGTCATCAGCCATGTCACCAATACACGCAACACAGGTACATCAGACTAGAAATCTACGTGGATATGCCACATCATCATATGTGGGCCCGTATTGCTTATATGCCTGACATGTCATCATAGCCATGTCAGCATATTGGGTTTTGATCCAATGCGCTACAGACACTATTCTCGTCGACACATGACTTTATTTGCTTCGTCCAGTAATTTAAAAGTTTAATTGGTAAGATTGGAGCCATTCAAAGTCTAATTTGGGTGATTTCAATGTTGTTTTCAACTTTTTTGGCCATTCCAGACAATCCATAAGGTCAGATTTGGTAAATTTAAATCTGAGAAGTATTAAAAATGGTAGATGACATAAAGGCTGTTGGAATTGAAAAATTTGACGGGATAGATTTTGAATATTAAAAAATACAAATTGAAGACTATCTATATGAGAATAAACTTAATCTTCCTCTATTGGGAAGCAAACCTAAAAATATACAAGAAGAAGAATGACTAATTCATGATAGATAGGTTTTGGGCATTATTTGACTATCCTTGTTAAGAAGAATTGCCCATAATGTTATAAAAAAAATCTATTGTAAAATTAATGAAAGCCTTGTCTAGGATGTATGAGAAGCCCTCAGTAAATAATAAAGTGCACTTGAAGAAAACGTTGTTCAACTTGAAGATGACTGAAGGCACCTTTGTTACACAACACCTTAACACCTTTAATACCATCACAAATCAATTATCATTTATTGAGATTGAGTTTGATGATGAAATTTGTGCTCTTATTTTGCTAGTTTCACTTCCAAGCAGTTGGGAAGGTATGAGAATAGTAGTGAGTAACTCAGCTGGAAAATCCAAACTGAAATATGATGACATTCGAGGCCTGATTTTAGCTAAAAAAATACGAAGGAAAGACTTAGGTAAAAGTTCAAGTTTAGGTTTAACTCTCAACATCAACACTCGAGGGAGGAGACAAAATAAAGGCTTATCTAGAGGTAAATCAAAATTAAGATATAGAAGTAAAAGCAAGTTTGGACCCAGCAAGTTGGATGTTGGAATTGTAGTAAACTTGGTTATTTCATGAAGAGTTGCACAAAACCGAAACAAGCTGAAGCTGACTCTACAAACGCTACTACAGATGAGGTACAAGATGCTTTGATTCTTGTTGTACAAAGTCTAATTAATGATTGGATTCTTGATTCTGGTGCTTTATTCCACTATGCACCACACCATGAAATGATGCAAAACTATGTTGCTGGATATCATTGAATTATCTTCATCCTCTTTTGACTCATATGGTCGAGTCTATAGTGCCATAGCTGTGTTTGTTTTTCTGTTTCAGTAGAGGCAATGATGTCTACAAATCTTTTGGTCATATAAGGTGCTGGTTTTCTTTCCACGAGCCAAAACCATTGCTCCCTTCAATACCTTTCACATACCTCCAGAAAAAGGATTGAATGACCACTATAGTCAAGTTGTTCGATGAAGATTAACTTTTTCTTTAATCCAGGAACATGCCTTACATTTTACAAGTTCCATATAGATTCATTTATTGTCTTGATTTGCATATCTTTTATACCCACAATATCCATTGGTTGTCCATTGACCAGATAGACTACACCGTGATCTCTAGTAATATAGTTTTGCATCATTTCATGGTGTATTATACAGTGAAAAGAAGCACTAGAATCAATAATTCAATCATCAATTGGAGTTTGTACAGTAAGAATCAAAGCATCTTGTACCTCATTTATAGTAGTGTTTGCAGAGTCAGCTTCAAGTTTTTTTTGGTTTTGTGCAACTCCTCATGAAATGACCAGGTTTGCCATAATTCCAACATTCAACCTACTTTCTGGGTCCAAACTTGCTTTTACTTCTGTATTTTGATTTTGATCTACCTCTAGATAAGCCTCTATCTTATCTCCTCCCTCAAGTATTGATGTTGAGAGCTGAACTTAAACCTAAACTTAAACTTTCATTCGAGTCTTTCCTTCACATTTCTTCGGCTAGAATCAAGTCTCGGATGTCATCATATTTTAGTTTAGATTTTCCAGGTAAATTGCTCATGACTATTCTCATGCCTTCCCAACTGCTTGGAAGTGAAACTAGCAAAATGAGATCCATCATCAAACTCAATCTCAACATATAATAATTGATTTATGATCGTATTAAAGTTGTTGAGGTGTTGTATAACAGAGGTGCGTCTGGTCATCTTCAAGTTGAACAACTTCTTTATCAAATGCACTTTATTATTTGTTGAGGGCTTTTAATACATCCTAAACAAGGCTTTCACTAATTTTACAGTGGATTTTTTTTTTGTAACATTGTGAGTAACTCTTTTTGACAAGGATAGCCAGATAATGCCTGAAACCTATCTATTAAGAATTAGCCATTCTTCTTCTTGTATATTATTAGGTTTGCTTCCCAACTGAGGAAGATGAAGTTTCTTCCCATATAGATAGTTTTCAATTTGTATTTTTCTAATATCCAAAATCTATCCCATTAAATTTTTTAATTCCAGCAGCCTTTTTATTATTTGTCATTTTTAATACTTCTCAAATTTGAATATGCTAAATCAAATTTGAATATTTTTCCCGTTAAATGTGTATGGAATGGCCAAAAAAGCTGGAAACAACACTGAAATCATCCAAATTAGACTTTGGATGACTCAGATCTTATCAATCAAACTTTTTGATTATTGGACGGAGCAAATGAAGCCGCGTGTTAGCGGGAATAGTGTATGCGACGTAGTGGATCAAAACCCAATATGCTGACGTGGTTATGATGTCGTGTTACAGATGCAAGCAATACAAGCCCATATATGATAGCGTGACATATCCACATAGATTCCTGATTTGACGTGTCTGTGCTGGCGTATACTAGTGATGTGGTTAATGACTATGCAGAATTGCTGCTGTGGCTGTTGATTATACACTGATGTGTCGGGTCAACTTAGTTTAGTTGTAGGCATTCAGGCGAAGAAGGAGAGTGTGGTGCGTTGGTGCGTGTGGGTAGTCTTGACATCGGTGCGTGTTGGCGTGTATGGGCATGCAGGATGTCGGTTCTTCACTAGGTTTTCACCAGTGGATTCGTCTCGTCTTCCTCTACACGATGGTATGTTTAAAAACATGTTTTGAGAACTTTGATTTTTAAGATTAGATCAAACACCCTCTTTTTTAAGAACAAGTTTTGATATTAGTTGTTGGGTAATTCCAGAAATCAAACACACATGAATATACATGTTTGACAACTTGCCTACTCCATAGAGCTAATGGTTTGTATTAATCAATTAAAAAAATAATACAAACAAGGAGGAGGAGAAAACTCTTCTCAACTCAACTTTACTCGTTCAAGCTCTCTCTACTGCTCTCTCTTCTCTTCTGTTCTCTTTGTGTTTTTTACTCTTACTCGCAGCTCTTCACTGAGTATATATGTATACTAAGCTAAGAGTGAAGGGTATAAATCATGGCATGATTTATACCCATGGTTTATGCCTTCACTTTGTGCTAAGTGGAGAGATGAGTTGTTCCCACTAAGCACATAATAGAGGTGAGATATTGCTTGTCTTTATATTGCTAACATGTTCATCCTAATGTATCTCTAAAATGAGTTAATTTGTGTGATAAAATGATTAATATTATTCAAAAACTAATTCGGATCAATGAATTTGTTTAAATGAATATATGTCATTAATTTATTTTTTAAATAGATCTAGTAACATGGTTTTTAGAAATCTACAAAGATCTATATATTATTTTTTCAAGAAACAAGGTGGATATATCCTACTTTTAATGGGTTTTGACCATGATTATCAATATATAGGAGAATATTCTGAATTATATGTCATTATGTAGTTACCTAGATTAGCTTATTTTTTACCTAGATTAGAAATGTATATTTTGGCAAATATCATGGACAAAGATAGGCCTTCTCTCTTCCATATATACATGAAACGTTCACAAGATTCATATAAGATAATATTGTTGTTATTTAATCTTCTTCATTATCTTTGATATATATGCCTATAATCTTTCCATTTATAGAGACGCGAGTTATAAATCCCAAGAAGAAATCAAAATAAGGCAAAGACAAGATCAGTGATCATGAGCATAGAAATATAATGAACAAGGAAAAGTTTTTGGTAGACAAGGAAAAAATATCACCTCCTCCACCCACCCCGGCATCGGAGAGGAGCACTAAACCAAGCCCTAACACGCAGATGGCAGCACCAAGCAGCTGCCATAAGGTATAGCGAGTTCCGAGAAAGAACCAAGTGAGACCTATAACCCATGCTATTGTCCAGCAGTCCAATAATGTCACGCTAGTTATTGACGAGAACTGGTATGCTTTGTTAACTACATGATAAAAGAAATCAATCAAGAAGAAGCTAATGATTTTTTTAAAAAATAAAAAAAATACTTAGTTCTGTTTTCAGAATGCAAATTTCAATCTTCAAATAAACTTAACAGTAGCAGTGATGAGTTTGGAGTGGCTTATACCTTATCCATCCCTGCTCTATATTAATTAGGCAGAAGAGGATTTTTCCCCCCATCGTTTTTGGAGATTTTATTAAAATCAAAGAAATATATAACTTTCCACATTGCAATTGATATCAAAGTAAATATCTAATGAGAGAAATTAACGTTAAGCACAAATAAATATTGAATATAACTATCATCGCTGCCCAAAGGTTAGCAAATACAAATGAACACACCCATAAAATAATTTTATTGGTAGATTGTAATGGATTTTTTTGACTGATTATGCCCTCATAAAATCCATTGATAAACACCAATAAAATTTTCAGTATGTATCAAGGGGATTAGTAGTGACTTCATTAGCCTCTTGTTTAATCCTTTAGTATTCTTTCATTGCTAACACCTTTCTCCAACAACGTTATATGAAAGTAGTGACTAATAAGCATTTCAAATACACACGTTATACTAACCACTTGCGTATATATTTTTGAATGATAACCACAATGGTTCTCCTTCATCTTTAATTCTTTTGGCATTATACCTTATTTCCTCATGAAGGTTGAAGTTCATAGAATAATCTTCTACACTTATCAATTTCTCATTCTAAAACCCTCAAACCATGGTTTAGTTTGTTGTATCCTTAAGCTATAATCCTTCTTCGTTCTTTCTCCATTGCTAAATACATGACACAAATGAAAAAAAAAAGAGAAAAGAAGAAAAAGATGAAGACACAACAATAATAGAATTTACGACAGGAAGAACATCAATTTAGACTCAAAATTAGAAATTTGACTTTTGTTTGGACCAGAACTGATCGAAAACAAATAGATGTGAAAGCGATGAAAAGGACTAAAAAAACAGCTAAATATCCCAAATATGATTATAATAAACTAGCAAGAACAAAATCAACAAAAACAAAACAAGTTTTGGAAGCTAATGCAAAACAAACCCGTTATGGCAAGACAAAACCTAATTTTGGAACCTCAAGAAAACTATATCCAAATAACCTCAAATTTAATATATTCTGTGACTAGCACCCTTGTAAATAAAATATAAATTTTGAGCTAATTCCAAGTTGGTTTGATATATGGATATGAAATAACCCATTTAAAACCTAAATTTATAACCTAGGCCCAACAATATCCAAATGACTTCAAACTTGATATTTATTGTGATTTCACACTTAATAACTAGAATATAAATTTTGAGTGAATTATGATAAGTTTTGATATGCTGTCGTGAAACAGATGTGTTACAGTCCTATCTTAACGTTTTTTGATCACTTCTTTTATTTTGTACTCAAAATAAAACATAATAAAAAAAATAACATAAGAAAGAAAACAAATATAACCCAAAACAAAACAAATATAGATAAAGAGAAACTGACACAAAAAAATAGATAAGGAAAACAAGAAGGATATAACGTGATTTTGAAGCCTAGCTCTAATACCAACTGATACAAACCTCTTAATCACATGATCAAGCAACCCTTAATGAAGATGATACTTTCTAGGAAAGCTAAAAATCAAGTTTGAGAAGTGTGACACAATGAAAATCTGTCTGAAGACACTAATAGTATTAGAATTCAGTCTAATTATGGAACGAGGTCAATTATGCCTTGATTAACTAGATTTGATCTTTGTGCCCACAAAAATAACATGTTGTATTATGCAAAACAAAATTTTATTTCATAAATCTATGGCTACTTCCTTTTCAGCATACAAAATACTTATATAATGCTTCAAATAACCCTAATAGACCCCCATATGTGGGCTGATTTGAGTCCATTTATGAAATTAATCTAAATGAGTAATAATAACTCAAATATTAAAAAGAAAATAATAAAAATATAAAATTAATATCCTAAATATACTAGAATCATATTTGTCACCCTTAAGAAGTTCCAAATAGATTAAGAAATCTTATTTAAATGTAGAATTAATTTTGAAGTCTTCTTGCCTTATTATGTTTATTTTTCTTGTTTCACATGGAAAATAAATGAATAAAATCTCCCTCTTTAATATCTGTCAATTTAGTTTCCTTCCAAACTAAAAGAATCATCCATTAATTATTTTTACTTTAGAAAATTAGATCTGACAGCCCCTCTAGCATCCTTTGTTAACTAGAAAAATTCCTCCTTAATAAATATTATCCAAAATAATATGAAAAATAATAAACAAAATTTTCTTGAATGTTAGGAGAATATTTTGCTAATTTAAGTCCTCAAAGAATTATAAAATCAACCACAAACAAATCTGATATAATCTCAACTTCTCAATTAACTTAAGCCAACTTTGGATCCCATATGGCCTAAACCCATATTCATTAATAAGAACCAAGCCAAACCCAAAATACACTTCAAATAAACTTTCTTTGCTGCCCAAAAACCATCACATGCATAACACCTCTTGATCTGGCTGAATTACCCACCAAACCAAAAGAATTGAACGAAACTCATTATCTATAAGAATCTCAATCTAACTAAATGCATCCTTAAATTAAAACCCATCATGAAAAAACCAAAGGCTGAACCATGTATTGAACCATAACAATTATCAACAATTAATTTCATATATATGATTGAATAACCTGAACCATATCACTAATTTACCTTTTACATTCCAAACTTGCACCAAAATAAAATCAAGGAAAACTCCATATAATAATTAATAATCTATTTCAAGATGTCAAATACTTGATATTTATGCTCACGAGTTAGTCTCATGCTGTTGATTGGGTCTGATGACTTTTTATATACCAATAAAATCATTGCATCATTTATTGTTCATCCATTATACCATTTAATTTCATTATTCATATTAATTTCAAATTCTCGCTTTATTCTTGTCGAGAATTCCCATTCTAATTATGTAAAATATACATTTTTTTTTCTATTCAATTCCATTTTCTTTTTAATTGAAACATTTTTGTACAACTTGCTCATTATTTAATCTAACCCATCCAATTCTTTTACATGAGGTTAGTGGGGTTTCTTACATAACGGATAAAATTTCCCTTTCATTTCTTTATGCTATCATTCTTTATTTAGGTCTGAATGTTTATTGCGGGCTCATAAAATGCTTTATGGGGACTTGCATGGGTAAATGAGTTGTTTTGTTTTATTTAAATGGGTGAGGGTTTAGATTAAGTATTAGATTAATTCATATATTTATAGGATTAATCCTAAAATCAGTCTTATGTTTTTGGGAGCAACGTTAAAATTGTTTTTATTTTATAACAAATAAAATAAAAAATAAACTGATTTTTTTTGGATTTGATTCTAAATTTTAAAATTAACGTCTTTTTCATTTTTAGACCGATGTTAAAATCTTTCTTATAAAAAATAATAAAATGAAAAACATTAGAATAATTAATTGCAATAAAAAGAACAATTCTAGAATAAAAAACTCTTAATTAATTTTTTTTTTTTGTAAAAAAGGATGTGGTGAAAGAATCATAGTCCTTCTCTTCTATACAAATAACTCCTTAATTTCTAGAGCTAGTGTTATTTATTAGAATTCCTAGTTTCCTTGTAATTATTTAGCTGCGACTTCATTTATTATCCCCCTTGCCGTTTGCCGTGAAGTCCTTCGAGATGCACAACACCAACCAAAAAGTACCGATGATACTGCAATTTGATGGCCATACTACTGCAAGCCTGCAACTCCCATCTCCTTTTTTGCTTCTTATGTTGCTTAGCTAGCCCAAGGAACCTCCCTGCAGCCATGGCAGGTACAAATGCTACCTAAAGCTAATTGAGCTACTTTTTCAGTGCAGTTAAAAACTTATCCTGTACTTGAATGAACTTAAAGCTCATCGTTATCAATAAATTTTGGTGGTTCTTTCTCGTCGTCAATTGCCCAGCAAGCTGTAGATGTGCTTAAACTATCCAACCACACCTCGTCGGCCGAAAATGAGTTAGAATCATTGTTCCGTTGCCATAACCAGTGTGCCCGCGTTTCATCCATTATCCTCAACCTTCCATGCCCGAAGCTTGCCTCTCGATACAAAGAAAGAGGCGAAGCAGGATTTTTAAACCTATACATTAAGTGCAGATCATCAGCATGCATGCATATAGATATGGACAATGCGTGCATTTAGCAATTAATATTAATCTCCTAATTTCTATAAATTGAATATTAATGCGTGAAAGTATCGGTTTAATAGCTTTAAGATGCTGCAAAAGTGCAAGTGGAATGGAGATCTAATACTTACGTTAATGCAAGCCCTTCACGATTTCCCCCATCTCCGACTGTTATATACATAGGGCCGCATGGATCAAGCTTGTTATCGTAAATCCTTGCCTGCAACCCAACGTAAACGAAAGACGGCTTGTGGGTAAGATTTATTTTATTTTTCTAAGTAAAAATGTGCATGTAAAATCAAAAAATTGGATTTCTCAATTAATTGCCAGAAATTATACTCATGTGTGACAAAAATTGAAATAGAGGGGCAAATATGATCATTTTTTCTTAACTTGAGCGTCCATGAAATGTATTTTACCTGATAAAGCAAATATTATATACTGAGTTAAGGGAACTTACAAATCGTTCATATGCATGGACATGCCCTGCAAACACGACATCGACTCTTGCCTTGTACAACAACTCTTCCATAGCTTTTCTCATGCTTTCTCCTTCACCTTGATGTGCATTATTGGTATTATACCAGGGGGCATGCAACAACACGATGACCCACGGTGTCTTCTTCCTATCAATGCTGCCCAGGTCGGCTTCAAGCCACTTATACTGCTGCGAGTGCTCATCAAAATCCGTGTAAGATCCTAACATTATAACATGAGTGCCAACAACGTTGAATGAGTAGTACAAATTTGAGCTTGAATTGCTCTCCTCATATGGCATTAGCCACCGTGCATTATAGGCCTTGAAGCCATGTGGCTGTATAATTGGGAAGATTTCGGTCTCATGGTTTCCTTCAGTCACCATCCACGGCCGCTGGCTAGCATATTTCTCCACAAGGCGGCCAAATGAGTCCCACAGAGGTTGATGGGTATCTGCGTAAGATAAATCACCTGGTAGCAATAACACATCGTAATCACGGCTGTTGACATGTGCTAAGGTCGAATTAGTCCATTCTGTTTGCCCGAGATCACCTGTAAAGTAAGTTGAAACAAGCTTGTTTAACAATTTTTCCAGGGAAAACAATTCTTGTGATAATTAGTTAATAACTATTGTCATATTTGTTACGATGTATATTAAATGTAATTTATTTCCGGATATTTTTGCTATTTAAAGGATTCTATACTCGACATATGCTAATATGTTTTTAACTATTAATTTCTTGTGCTACTGTATGCAAACATTTTAACCATAGTTATTAAATCAAGTCGACTGAATAGTTCACCCACGTAAAATTTAATCTCGACCATTTATTTCGAACCGAATTAAAAATTAATTTGGATAAACCTCACTGACCAGTCGATCCACATTCCTGGCTTGAGGTTGAAGCATTTTTCCAAGCCTGCTCACCCAAAGACTTTGCTTCAAGATGCCTAGGATATATTCCTTTTATGCCTTACACGTCTATCTATCTTTTGAGAGAGACATTTGAGAAATTGGGCAAAAGTGCTTGGAGACCCTTTCGCTTAAAGGTGTGTATATGCAGAAAATCCTATGTGTAATAATCTTCTCACTCTTTGCCCTCTAATTAGCTAATTGTTGCTTACACTCGAAGCACTAACCTACAACCCAACCGATCTGCAACCTTCGAAGCTTTATCAAATAAGATAGGGTCGCTGGTCACAGTAACTATGGATTCATTACTTATAATTTCAAAGATTATGGGCATCGTAATTAATATATGGTCATAATTTAGCAAAACGCTCACCAATCACAACGAATTCAAGCGGAAGAGTTGCAGGAGGAGTCTTGAAGGATAATTCGGGGCCAGAACCTCCACATCTGTAGTAATAAGTAGTTCCTGGCTCCAACGGTCCGATCTTGACATGGTGTATCTTGCCTGAGCTATAGAAGAAATAACGATAGGAAGTGTGGTCACCTGTTGCCATTGCATTATATGTTCCCGGTTGCTTTCCATATTCTACCGTGGACGGTGCATGTTTATCATCTGTAATCCATGTGACTCTCATGTGGTCTCTCCCCACCAGTGAAACGTGCACCTGAAACCATACATCTGTTATCCTCTGCCGTTGAGCTAAACATCTACGATAAATTACGCATTGTCTAATATCTGTAACTAGATGGAGGGAGAGAAAGAAATTAACCTGTTGGGCTTCAGATTCCAATCCGTGATGAGCAGTGAAGATGAGGTTGCGAGCAGGAGGTCGAGAGTAACTTTCATCTTTTGACGCATAGCACTGTGAGGTGAATTGGAGGAAGAAGAAGAAGACGCTAGTTATTAGAGCATGCAGAGATTTCTCCATCTTTCTTTCTTTCTTCTTGTTTTGAGATGACAAGGCTGGCTATGGATGGAGGGATATTTAAAGATGGGTTTCAGAGCTTGAAATAATATTTTATCGGATAGCAATGGCGTCAAGGAAGTTACTAGGAATAATTTTTGGATATGCTTGCAGCAATAAAACTACGAAAATGGAACCCGCTGGTGCTTGTCAGCTTGTCATATGCTTAGCAAGCAGCTTCTCGAGGAGCTTGGCTAGCTATCGACTTGGCTAACCAGCTTACCTTAGCTGTCGGCAAACATCGACATCATTGGACCATTGAATTTTTTGTTTTTTTTTCCGTCCGTATACATGGAGTTCATGCCCGTGATAGGGCTAGCTCTTGCATGGTAAAATGAAGTCCACCAGTGAAGTTTTCATATTATAATTATAATTATAAACACAACCAAGAAAACAGGAGTTGCTACTGTTTATATTAAATATGAATTACATTAATATTTTTCTTTAATTGTTTTGATAATAACTTCAGTTGATTTACATGCGGGGTTTGCTTATGATTGCGGGTTCGCTTGTCTCCTGTCATGTATGTTTTTTTCTTTTTTTTAAAAAAAAGGGGTTGTTCTGTAAAAATAAAATGCAGGTTAATCACTATCAGATCTTATAGTTATATAGGCAGAAATTTTCAACAGTATTTATATTCATAGTATAACGTTAAGTATTTTAGCAGAGAAGAGCTAACATTTACAGTAAATTTTTTTTAACTCTTTCTAATATACTGGCAGAAGTTTAAACTATATATATATATATAGTTTAAACTTCTGCCAGTATATTAGAAAGAGTTAAAAAAAATTTACTGTATGTATATATATATATATATATATATATTAAACAAAAGTAGAAAAATAATTAAAAATTAAAATTATATAAATTAAATTAATATAAAAATTAAATATCTATTATAAATTTAAATATTTATACATTTAAATACAATAAATCTAAAATATAGGCAGTGTTAGAGGGGAAGGAATAAATCTAAAATAGAGGCTATGCTAAAAGAGAAGAGGGAGGAGGTTGGTTATCGTCGAGACCGTGAGACTAATAAAAAGAAGCACATGGATCACCTATATATGATCTTATTTTCATTTCCACTTGATGAAGTTTTTCGTGATCAACAATGAGTCGTTCATATGTTTTATTGAGATGTGTCGTTCGATCATATACTCATTAGTTTAACATCACCTCAGACTCGATTGTAAGCATCTAATGGTCAAAACACTATGGATCATTCGTAGGTTCTTGGTTGTATTGTTAAAGAGTCTATATACTAGATTTTTATCGAATTCACCATATGATTCTGCCTTCAACCACAAATCTAGATTAATATTTGAATGGATTAAAGGATCGTCTCCTTATCTCTTCTTCAAGCGCCTATCTCTCATTCAAGCAGTTGTTGCATGTATTTTGGAAAGAAATAATAAATTCATCAAATTGAAAGAAATTATAACTTAATAACAAAATAGATAAAAACCAACATACTATAAAATGCCAAGCTTGACTATCTACAAACTATTTCACCTTTTTTTTATGGTTATTACTCCATATATACATTTTAACAAAAATTCCATTGGGTTTGGCTTGCATTTTAAGAGTTGTAGCCTGTAATATAAAAATATTGTTAGTTAAATATATTTATAAAAAATAACAAGTAAAAAATAAAAGTAGTAATTTTTTTTACTATTTAATTGAAATTTACAAAATAAATAATCTAAATTAACAGATATTCAAAATAACAATTAAAATTAATCCTACACATTTAATTGAAATTTAACAAAAAATTAAAATTCTTTAAAATAATGAAAAAAATTTAAATAACAACTAAAATTCACACAAAATTGAACAAAAATAATGATTAAAAAACAATGAACAAAAAAACAAAAATAAATAAGAACAATGAATGAAAAATCCTTAATTTTATAATGTGCTTAGCATCGACTGAGAATTAAAAAAATAACTGAAAAATGACTGTTACAATACCTAAAAATAGAAAAATGAAAAATATACATGACAGGAGACAAGCTGACCAGCTTACCTTAGCTGTCGGCAAACATCGACATCATTGGACCATTGAATTTTTTATTTTTTTTCCGTCCGTATATATGGAGTTCATGCCCGTGATAGGGCTAGCTCTTGCATGGTAAGATGAAGTCCACCAGTGAAGTTTTCATATTATAATTATAAACACAACCAAGAAAACAGGAGTTGCTACTGTTTATATTAAATATGAATTACATTAATATTTTTCTTTAATTGTTTTGATAATAACTTCAGTTGATTTACATGCGGGGTTTGCTTATGATTGCGGGTTCGCTTGTCTCCTGTCATGTATTTTTTTTTTATTTATAAAAAAAGGGGTTGTTCTGTAAAAATAAAATGCAGGTTAATCACTATCACATCTTATAGTTTTATAGGCAGAAATTTTCAACAGTATTTATATTCATAGTATAACGTTAAGTATTTTAGCAGAGAAGAGCTGACATTTACAGTAATTTTTTTTTTTTACTCTTTGTAATATATTGGCAGAAGTGTTCGTCGATGATCTTAATAGTGATAGTTTAATATATATATTAGACAAAAGTTGAGAAATAATTAAAAAATTAAAATCAAATAAATTAAATTAATATAAAAATTAAATATCTATTATAAATTTAAATATTTGTACATTCAAATACAATAAATCTAAAATAGAAATGGTATTAAAGAGGAGGAATAAATCTAAAATAGAGGTTGTGCTAAAAAGGAAGGAGGAGGAGGTTGGTTATCGTCAAGACCGTGGGACTAATAAAAAAGAGCACATGGATCACCTATATGTGATCTCATTTTCATTTCCACTTAATGAAGTTTTTCGTGATTAGGAGTGAGTCGTTCATATTTTTTATTGAGATGTGTCATCCAATCATATACTCATTGGTTTAACATCGCCTCAGACTTAGGAGTTTGAATGCTTAAAATCGATTCTGAGCATTTAAAGGTCAAAACACTACGGATCATTCGTAGGTTCTCGGTTGTATTGTTAAAGAGCCCGTACATAAGATTTTTATTGGGTCCACCATATGATTCTGCCTCCAATCACAAATCCAGATTGATATTTGAATGGGTTGAAGGATCATCCCCTTATCTCTCCTTTAAGCAGTTATCTCTCATTTAAGCGGTTGTTATATGTATCTTGGAAAGAAATAATAAATTTATCAAATTGAAGGAAATTATAACTTAATAACAAAATAAATGAAAACAAACATACCATAAAGTGACAAGCTTTGTTATCTACAAACTATTGCACCTCTTTTTTATGGTTATCACTCCATATATACGTTTCAACAAAAGTTTCATTGGGTTTGACTTGCATTTTGAGAGTCGTAGCTTGCAATATAAAAATATTGTTAGTTAAATATATTTATAAAAAATAACAAATAAAAAAATAAAAGTAGTAAAAAAAATCTTACTATTTAATTGAAATTTACAAAATAAATAATCTAAATTAACAAAAATTCAAAATAATAATTAAAATTAATCCTACACATTTAATTGAAATTTAACAACAAAACTAAAATTCTTTAAAATAATGAAAAAAATGTTTAAATAACAACTAAAATTCACACAAAATTGAACAAAAATAATGATAAAAAACCAATGAACAAAAAAACACAAATAAATAAGAACAATGAATGAAAAATCCTTAATGTTATAGTGTGCTTAGCATCGACTGAGAATTAAAAAAATAACTAAAAATGACTGTTAAAATACCTAAAAATAGAAAAATAAAAAAAAAATAAAGAAATACAACATACCTTAGGATGAGAAGAAAAGATGATGCTTGATTTTGACTTGGGTAGTGAATAAAAATAAGAGTGAAGAAGAAGATAGAAAAATAGAGAAAAGAAGAAAGAAGAAGAGTGGAGAAGATGAAGCTCGTTTACTGTTCTCGTGGTCTTTCATATTAGGTTTTATTAACATGTTTCCTAATGGAATAGAAAAATATTAATATCTTTAAAAATTTTATTGGTGACTTTGTCTATGAAGTCAAAACACTTTTTGTTGATATATACATTGCTGTAAAACAATATTTGATATTAAATTGTATCTGTATTTCCTATCTATTTATCCTATAAATACTTAAATTTATCTACACACAACATAATAATACTTATTCGCATCACAATAATTAAATAAATATTTTTTGTCATTCAATAATATATTAACATCATTGTTATTACATTAAAGTAAATTTTGTCAATAAATATTACATTATATTTTATGGCATTATAAATTAATGTTGTCCAAATTAATCAAAATGTTTTTTTCTTCGTCAATTAACTCATTCCCATCTCCATTGCAATTTTCTATGTTAATTTCATTGCTATCATCATCTTTATCGACATATACATGTCTGTTGGAGCACAAAACATATTCAACGTCAACATCATACAAAAATTATTATCATTGATGTGAAAATTTGCATTTTTTTCTCAGTTATTATACGAAGTAACTCGATATGCATCAGCTAACTTACTAAGTTGAAAAACATCATCTCTCAAAGTTAATTCATTGTTTCCATCCTGAATAACTTTAACATGACCGTTGGATTTAGTATTCACTATGGATAACTGATTAACTCTTGAATGATCATTTCTAAACGAAGGAGTATATATGTATTAAACTTGTTGGCATTACTTGATGAAAACGAAGACATTGTCAATATTGTAGAGTCTAGCCTTTAAATTAATTTTGAGACCATAATGGGGATCTACTCTAATTTCTCTGTTAGTGGTGTCATATCAATAACATTTAAATAAAAATAGATATGTTGTTTACTATAATATTGCAATTCAATTATCTTTTCTAACTTCTTATAATAGTCAACTTCAAACTCAATAGAAGTCGATCCTTTAACACAAACTCCACGGTTACATGTTTTTCTACCATTCCCGTATGCTTCAATAAGAAACATATATCCATTGATAAAATACTTATCATAGCACTTTACCTTTCTTTGAGGGCCTAAACTTAGTAATGACAAAATAAAACTAACATTCCTTCCTAGTTGAAACTCGGTACATAAAGTACATGTTAAGTAGTATACTTACTTAATAAAATATCTTAGTTCGTCGTAGTTAAATAACACATGATTATATGCTTGTCTGAATTTTATTTTAGACAAATATCTTTCCCTTTTATTATTTTTAGTAATGTTGT